GCGGTCGGGAGGAGGCGAGGCCGCGAGAGCGCGGCAGGGCTGGCTGCCGGCGCCTGCGTCGCCTCCCCTCAGCCCCAGCAAAGTGCGTGGGGAAGGGGGTGAGGATTTGGTCGACAACTTTGCTAAAGAATTTTTCTTCCCCCCCCCCCCCCCTTAAAAAAAAAAAAAACAACCAACCAACCAACAACCCCAAACAGTTTTGAGTCTTCCTTTGATTTTAGCAAAGACAGAGTTTAAAAAGCACTTAGGAAGCTTGTACTAAAATCGGGCGCCCTCAGAGGAGAGAGTCGTCTGTGCACCCCCCTTCGAGTCCGTAGCGAAACTCCTGCAGGTTCGACACCCCGTAGAAGTGGACGAAGGCCGCAGCCACCACGAGCACGTGGAAGATCTGATGCGACTGAAACTGCGGGGAAGCGAAAAAGCCCTTTAGACCAGACCAAAGGGGACAAAGCAACACCGGGAACACCTCCTCCTCTTCCTCCTCGCTGCTCCCGCATCGCCCTAGGACCATCCTCCGAGCTCCACTTCTTCCCCCTCCTTGCTCCCAGGCAGCGTTTTCCACCCCGTACTTTGGCCCGCCCTGCCTGCTCGCAGCAGCTGCTCAAGGTCTGGCTGCCAGCACACGCGCTGGGGCACACCAGGACCCCTCTCCCTTCTCCTCATCTCAGAGTTGCCCCCCCTCAACGTCCCACACTCACCCAGATGTCGAACTTGCCCGGGAAGAAGCGCTCGGGTATGCGGGCGGCGTACAGCCCCGCGCCCGTGATGTACATCACGGCCATGAGGAAGAACCAGCCCATCTGGCCGAGGTGGTGGCTTTCACGAACCCTCCGGCGATGGTGAAGTGCATGGTGGGCACCACGCCGCTCAGCCCCAGCCCCAGAAAGACACCTGCGGCGGAGAGATCAGCAAGTGGGAGCGCAGCGGGGACGGGGCGCTGCTCCTCCCCGCCAGCTGCCCTCGCACCCTCGTCCTGCGCAAAGGGAAGCTCCTGGAGGCACCAGCAGCTTTTCCTCACTCGGTCCTGGGTTATCCGATGGTGAAGTGCATGGTGGGCACCACGCCGCTCAGCCCCAGCCCCAGAAAGACACCTGCGGCGGAGAGATCAGCAAGTGGGAGCGCAGCGGGGACGGGGCGCTGCTCCTCCCCGCCAGCTGCCCTCGCACCCTCGTCCTGCGCAAAGGGAAGCTCCTGGAGGCACCAGCAGCTTTTCCTCACTCGGTCCTGGGTTATCCAACCCCCGGGGCATTTATCCTCCACAAAACGAGGGATCTGCAGCCCCACGTCCCGGTGAAAACCAGTGCTGACCCCCGGTGCTCACTGGGCAGAGCTGGCCACGCAGACGGGCGCTCTCCGTACAGCGGCAGGGCTGCGGCAGCTCCCGCTCCTGGCTACGGGAACGGCTCTTTCGGAAGGTGCCAGCCCATCGGATCGCACCGAAGCCTCACGGGCGTGAGGAACGCAGCAGCCCCAGCCAGCCCTTCGAGGAGAGGCTTTGCCAGAGTCAGTTGTTCGGTGAAGCTGCTTGGAGCTCAAGGGGAAGGTGCTAATTAGCAGTGCCGATATTTTCAGCTCTGGCATCTAATTAGTTTGGCAGAGAGCAAACGGCACCGCAGCGAGACACCAGCCCAGAGCGGCTGCGCCTTGTACTCACAGCAGGATCTCGCTTCGCACCGGGGGAGGACAGCAGCCCTCTCCAGGAGCAGGCAGCCGGGATCTCTGCCAGCGTGCCAACACCAGCGCTGCCGTGGGGCAGCGGTGGGGCTGGCAGTCCCACCCTGTCCCCTGCCCTCTCCTGAGGGGGGTCTCGTGGGTCACGCGCCCGGCCTCCAGCTCAGCATCGTCTCTCGTCACGTAGCTGCGAGAGACGTTTTGCTGCAGGAGCCCCCTGGGGAGGCGAGGGCAGGCGGAGGCGAGGGCAGGCGGAGGCGTTTCTCCACACTCACTGGTTCTCAGCGAGGCCGATTTAATCTGCAGAGGCTGCAGCGGGGGCAAGACAGGGTGTGAGCGCGGAGCGGGCTGGAGGCAGCCTCGCCCTGCAGCTTCCAGGAAGGCAGGTACGTGCCAGCGTGTAACTGGCAGGGGACAGATGAGGGAACCTCTCTCCTCCTCTGCCTGAGCTGCGGGTTCGCGCTGCCAAACCGCTTCCCGGAGAAAGGCGGCTTCGCGCGGCACAGCCCCAGGCCACCCAGCCGCCACTTACAGGGCTATTTTTAAACGCTGTCTGCCCGCTCCGAACCTCAGGCTTGCCGAGTGCCGGGCGGAGCTCGGGCCCTGCTCAGCGGAGGATCTAAACCCCCGGCACAGCGAGAGGAGGAAGGAGACCTCCCCCTGCCAGGAGCTGCTGCAGGGCGGGGCGCTGCTCTGGGGGAATTAATTCTGCAGATGCCGAGAGCTCTTCCCAAATGGGAAGAGGAGCCATCCCACAATGGGATCTTCCCAAAGTGCCTCCCTGAAGCCCTCCCGAGCTCCCTCCCGGGGCTGGGGACTCGGGGTGAGGAGGGAGAACGCCTACCTGCTCTTGTCTGCCTGTGCTTGGGGGTGGCAAACCGGTCCCACTGAGCAACGATGATGGCAGAGATGCCCAGGACACAGACGATGGAGAGGTAGATGAGTCTTGGCTGCGGGGAGCAGTAGAACGAGTAGTAGAGCCACGGGACAAAGCTCCCCATGATCAGCAGTGCAATTCCCGAATAATCCAACCTGCAGCCGGGGTGCGATGACAGAGAGTCACGGGTGAGCCCCAAAATCCACCCCCCCCTCCTTGTGTCCTCTTGGTAACGGTGCGTCGGTACCCTCCAGCCTGTCTGCGCCCAAATGGGGTCACCAGGGCCAGACAGGCAGCCACGGCCCCGCCGGTGAAGCTGCGGGCCCAGAGAGCGGAGGAGGGCTGCGCTCGGGTCTCATCAACGCGATTTGGGACGTGAGAAAGGGCCTGGGCACGTACACGGCTCCTGGGGATGCCAGCAGAGCTCGGCAGGAGCACAGAGGATGAACAGGAGCCAGCCGAATACGAGACGGGCCGTGCACTCAAAGCACCACGCCAGGACACGGCGGGCGCGAGTCCTTGCACGTACGGATTTGACTGTTACCCTCCACTGCAAAGTGCTTTCGATCTATTGATCCAGGAACCATTTCACCACCGAAACGCAGCCGCTTGCGTTACCCCCGCCGCCCCGGCAGCCGTGGCAAGCGCCTTCCCCGCTATGCAGGAACATTTCTGCTGAGGGCACGGCAGCACAGTTTGTTCTGCAGACACGATCCCGCAGGATCTCTGGGGTTTGCGCAAAGGAGATCGGCATGATTTCCCAGCAAGCAGCACCCAAGTAAATGCCTTTGACAGACCTGCCCGAGCAAGATCTTATTTGAAAGCCTTGCTGCTGCCCTGCCTGCGCCACGAAGGCTGATGTGAGCTTAACTCGAAGAGCAGCCCGCGCACCGACCTCGGGGAGAGGCGCCGGCCGCTGCCCAGCCTTTCCACTTCGCCAGGAATCCCGTTTTGTTTTGTTTCTTTCAATTTGGTTTCAGTCCAAACTGGATCCAAACCAGAGTTTTTGAAAGCATCCAGTAAACTGGAAACTGCCAAACTGCCGTGTCTCACGAGACCGAGACCCCTCCTCAGTTCACTGCTACGAGGGGCACAAAGGCTGTTCCCGTGGGAGCTGCGGGTTCCCAGGGTCCCCGTCTTTATCATCCGCCTGAGGGCGTCTGAGCGGGCAGTTTAAGGTGCTCAGGCACAGGGCAGAGCCCTCCGGGACCCAGCCGCGGTTCCCTCTCAACTCCAGGCCGGATTCAGTGAATTCAGTGTTTTTATCCCCAAGGATAAAACATTCGGGAACGCAGCGCTTTCCAAGAGGAAGTGCTGTGAGAACTCCACACCTCCTACGAGACCACGCAACCGCACTCGTGCTGACTCACTTCGAAAAAGTCCGCGAGACCTTCTCTGAGTGACAGTAGACAGTGTGGAAAAGCCAGGAGAAGCTGAGGCACAGCACCGCTCCCAGGAAGAACATCCCGAACACCACCTTCTCCTGGAGAGGAGCCATGAAATACATGTTGGGCCGCAGCATGGTCAGGATCCCCAAGCAGAGGAACAAAACAAAACCTGCAGGGAAGACGCCAAAGGGGCAGTCAGGCGGAAGGGAGAGCGAACGGATTCAGCGAAGAGCCAGGAGAAACACGGCCCTGGCTGTGCTCTGCAAGGCAGGACCTGGACGCATCCTGCTCGCAGCGCACCCGGAGGTGCCCAGTCGCACCCGGGGCTGGCTCGGCAGCGGGCCGTGAGCCGAGGCTGTCGTTACCGCAGGCGAGCTGAGCAGGGGGCAAGGGCACGGTCAGGCGCAGGGCGAAGAGCCACTGACTGTCCCCGGGTTTCAGAGGAAAGTGCTGCGAGGCTTTCCTGTTTTGCCCAGGACGCGCTCCCCCGTCCCGCTCTCGCGGAGCGTCGGCAAAGCCACAAACCGTCGCTGAGCCCAGCCCCGGGGCCCCGCTGCGAGGAAGTGCCCTGGTCTCCCTTCACCCTCGTGACCGAGCTGCCTGCGCGCGCGGGACCAGGCAGGGGTACGCGATCCTCAAAGGGAAGCCCCGGGCACGGAGAGGACCCCAGCGCCAAGCAAGTCCCGGCCGTGAAAGGCCCCCACCTTCGCCCCCGGGGCTACCCAAACCTCCCCCCCCCCAGTCACCTAGCAAGTGCGGTTGCCCGTCTCGGTGTGTAGTGTGTAAAGCCCACCTTCAGCCCCCGGGGCTACCAAACCATCCCCCCCCCCCAGTCACCTAGCAAGTGCGTCCAGATGTTGCCCGTCTCGGTGTGTATTCGGAAGATGCTCTTGAAGCAGGCTCGGAAGGACGGCATGGGAGGCCTGTGTCCGTGCAGGAGGTAATCGTTGTCCTTCAGCCAGTCGGGCAGCACGTCGTAAGGGATCACGCGCCAGCGCCCTTCCCACACCTGCAACATGCCAAGCTGCGCTGGTGACCCCCAGAACGTCGAGCCAGCCCAAAGGCTCACGTTTACTCACCCCGGGAGCCTAAAGTCGCAGGCGGAACAAGCCCAGCCGGGGCTGAAAATGCCCTGTAATGCTCCTCGGGGAGAGAAAGTTCAGCTTTTGCAAGATCAGCACCCTGTGGGATCCCTTAAGCCACCCACATCCTGGAGAGCGCTCCCCACCCGTCCCCCCAGGGAGTCGGAGGCGATTTGCACCCTCAGGTTTAACCCTTCTGCACCCGAAGGAACTGTTCCCTGCAGCGGGGAACTCCCATTTTGGTCAGGGAAGAGGGAGCCCCAGCTGGCAACAGAACCGGGCTGGCCCTCAGCCGATGCCACCGCTTACCGGACCGCAGTGACCGCGAGGACAGGCACCGGGTGAAACCAGCAACGGTGCTTGGTGCTCCCCGTCCCCGTTAGAGGGACGCAGAGGCACTGGGACTGCTCCCCAGGTCGCTGCTCATCAGCGCGGCTGGGCAAAACCTCCAACACCCACCGGCGCTTCCCAGCCGCCATAATCCCCTTCCCGCACCGCTCCCGGGAGGCGCTGCTGGGAGGAGGCCCAGGCGAGCGGAGCCGGAGCAGGCTGCCGGCAGAGCCGCCTGGAGCCCCGGGAGCTTCGCCCAGACAGAGCGACGCGTCCCAGCCCCTGCCCGCCCCGCCAAGCCCCGGGCTTGGGGCATCAGGGCCTCATCGATACTCCAAAATCAGGACCGGGGAATCGCCACAGGCTCCCGTACCTTATACACAAACTCTTCCATCTTCTCCATGGCGTGATGAGCCTGCAGAGGCAGAGTCAGCACACGGACCACCTCCTCCTCTTCCTCACGGGCCGCTGGGCACGGCGGGTCTTCAGCCTAGAGGGAGAAATGTCGGGAGGAAATCATTCCTGCCCACGGGAGGAGGAACAGCGTGCGGAGAGCGGCGAGTCCCTTCTGAGAGCACCTGGAGCTTCATCCCTTCCCAAGGGGACAGGCAGGCCCCGCCGGTCACCACCACTTACGCAACACGCTACTGTCTCAACCACCGCGGGCAGGCTAATCCCAGACTTATCCTTGTCGAAAGGCGGGATTACCGCGGGGGATTTTCATCCCTACAGCCAAGGCTGGAACAAGCCACTCGGCCCAGCCAGGAAACCCGGCTCTTCACCCCAGCCGTCAGCCCAATGCAGAGCGGAGGCAGCAGCTCTGCCCGTCCCGGCTCAACTCCCTCTCTCCTCCTTTTCCATTAGCGGGTTTGGGAAGGCGATTTCCAGCCCGAAGGGCCAGGGAACAGCCGGGTGACCGAGAACACCCCTTCGCTCCAAGCAGCAGCGCTGGCAGGCGGAGACACCGCATCTCGGCTGACATCTCTGCACGAGGGCTATCGCAGATCCACGCCTGCACGACCGGAGAGGTTTTTGGGCCAGCTCAGAGCACGGGCCAGCCAGACCGTCAGCGTTCGGGTGGCAAAACATCTGGCAGCCTCTCTGCGCTGACACAAAGCGACGGCTCGGGGCTCTGCACAACACACCCGGCCGGCCTGCGTCCTTCGAGCTGCTAAGGGGACGGCGGGCAGATTCCCAGGTTAATCCGCAAGGAGGGAGCGGAGCGGCTGAGCAAGGAGGAGCGGGCCCAGCCGCGGCTCCGGAGAGCACCCAGCACCCCGGCGAGGTGCCCGCTGGCCGCCCGCGGGGCGAAGGAGGGCTTACACTGGTCCGGCGGCGGATGCGGGACGCCATGGGGGGCGGGGCGAATTACACTGGTCGAGCCGGCGGTTCCCTGGTCCCCCTTCTCCCTTCTCAGCGGCCCCAGCTCGGCCAGCTCCAGGTGGGCT